TACCAATTATTATACTTAATATGTTTTCTAATACTTGCTATGAAAATGTTTGCTACCAAGAAAAATATTTCTAAAACTTCATTTTGAGACCTATCCAGCTTTGATGTGAAAATGGTATATTTAAGACTCTGAGGATTTGTATCTAGAATTTTAAGATTGTTGGAAGACGTAATTTATTTCTTTATAACAGACTGATTTACTTAAATTTGTAGGTACTTGAGACCAGAAACTGCACAGGGGATTTTCCTGAATTTCAAACGACTTTTGGAATTCAACCAAGGAAAGTTGCCCTTTGCTGCTGCCCAGATTGGAAATTCTTTTAGAAACGAGATCTCCCCTCGATCTGGGCTGATCAGAGTCAGGTACTACTCATGTTACTCTTACACATTAGTGAACGACTTTGACATGGAATTGGAAATGAAAGCTTGCTCTTTTGAAACAATACTGCCTCATAATCCTGATTATGGATTTATTTTTGTCTTCTCCAAAAAGCGTGTTTTACATTTGTAATCTCTAAATGTACTCTCTGGGATGACAGGCAGTTCTGAGTGATGAAAGTGAACTTGAAGGTAAAGGAAGGAGGGTGGAAAATAGCTGAAGTTTCTCACTTGCTCCAAAATTATTTTTCCCTTGTTCATCATACGTTTTGAGGATAGTACAGTCTTGATTGTCTAAACCAAGGCAGTTCTGACAATGGTGATATAGGTAAGTGTGGGGTGGGGTGGGGTGGGGATGAGGAGATGGTTTTAACAGGAGGATTGTTCTAGGTGTCCAGGGAAGACAGCATTGCTGGAGTTGGAGTGAGGATGTTTCAGTAACCAGCTCTGCTACCCTGGACACAACCTCCAGATATCTGGGGGCCAGTATGACAGAAAGGCCAGCTAGCAAGTTTACCTCCATCTGCTCTATACTCTAGTTCAGACACTCACCTGGCTCTATTAGCCTGTTTTTGTCCAGTGTATCCAGGAATGTGTGGGAAGCCATACTGATGCTGTTTAATTCCACTTTTCTTTAGAAACTCATTATGACTAGCTGCTTATGACTTAAGCTTTTTGTGATTTGTTTACATTTTCTTCCTAATAACATCTCTTAGAGTAATACGTTCCATTTAAAAATAGCATATATAGTTAAACTGAACTTTTTTAGACTCCAAAAGTGTTTTCCCAGCCCCACTGCTTCACCCATTTCTTCTCTTCCCTTCTTACTCGCTGTAATTACAGACTTCAGTCATAGCATATCCCAGCCACTGACTGTGGATCAAAGCACCCGCCCAGTCTTGTTAGTCCCCATCGTGTCCTCTGTGAGGAGACGCCTCCGCATTCTGACCAAAGTGTATCTTCAGGCCTGTAGTCCCTTCAGGTTTATGGGCTAGGAAAGAGAGAGTTCATGGAGGAAAGAATGTGCACAATTTAGGGAAAGGGGGTGAGAAGGACCCCTGTGGGCTTTCACGTAGGAAGAAAAGGTAATCAGAAACTTTAACCAGGTATTACAACAGTGAAAATCCTGTCCAATTTGAGTTTTATTTCCTGGTGTCTGAGTTTTTTTGTTTTGTTTTTTGGTCTCCCCTTTGCCAATAGTGTCTAGCGAGCATGCTTTCCCAACGTAGGGGAAGCTGGGTAAGACTGACCTTGTCTGAAGCTAGCGTTTCAGAGAGGATTTATATAAAGTACAGTGGCGATGGGAAAATTATAAAGGACTGAGAAATAAAGCAGCGTCTGGGCCCTGTGAAATAAAAAGTGATGAGTAGGAAAACCAGCTCGGAACTCAGGAGTCATCCCAGGGGTTAACTGATAGAAGGCCCTGGGGCTTCTTGACGGCTTGTTCCTTGGTCGTTTTCACTTCAAAGTGTCCTGTCTGGATTTTGGCTATTGTGTACCCCTGCAAGTTGCTGACCAGAAGTCCACTCGTTCTTCACGAGTCCGCATCCTCATGGTTGGACTAGGATTGTTCGTTTAGTGTTATGGTTCTTCCTGATGACAGAGTTACCAGGTGCTTAGTCTTTCTATAGCTTTTTGTTTAGGTTAGAAGTATTAGATTGTTCGTGCGAAGTTTTTTTTTTTTTTAATTTTTACTTTACTTTGATTGGCTGGTTCTGTCTTTCCTGGCCTGTGTGTATTTTAGGTCTGCACAGTTCCAGGTACGGTCTCTGAACTCAAAGACAAGAGACAGAGCTGGTCAAATCAGTGTTATTGTTGAATTCTGCCTTTTGTCTATGAGCTGAGATTACTTTTTTACCCCCAGATTTACTGAGGTAAGATTGACAAGTAAAAATTGTATATATTCATGGTGTATAACATGATGTTTTGATGGGTATACTTTGTGAAATGATTACCACAGTTACACTAATTAACACATTTATCACTTCACATGGGTACTTTTTTTTTGATGGTAAGAATACTTAAGATCCTATTTTCTTAGCAAATTTCAGATATACAATGAATGCATTATTACTAACTATAGTCACCATGCTACAATTTTTGGCAGAACAGATGGAAAAACTTTGGAAGCAGCTTATTCGGGAATTCTAGGCAGGACCCTTAATTTATCCGCCCCCCACTGTAGATGCTCAATTGCTGTCAGCCCAGTTATAAGCCATGTGAGGACAAACACCATGTTTGTCTGTCTCTTTCACATTTCTATGGACACAGAAGATGCTTGACAGTTGTTGAAAGACAATTGAGGCATAGATGCTGCAGGACCAAATAAAACATACCATTAAAAAATAAAATTGAAAAATTAAAGCTCTTTTGCAATGTATTTTGTGTATTTTTAAGACTCATTTAAGCAATTTTACATTACTCCTAAACATCTGAGATAATCATGAAATTGCATCAGTAAATGTGTTTTTTTTTTTTTTTTAAGAAGAGATTTGATTTTTACTCATAAAATTAACTTAAAATGCTTCCTTCCAATAGCTACTAAATTGCCATTCAGAGAAATCCTTTTGGGAAACCATTACTATGTGCATAGTTATTCCATCATTATGTAATTAGCTTGATGTTAGCTTGTTCAATTCATGCCTTCTGTCCTTTGCCTTGA